AACAGGCATACGATGTTATCAGCGTACTCTAAATCGCACAGCTTTTCTCCATCTGCCCATTCAATACCTACGTTCTGGAGACCAGTACGTGCGTTCTCCAGTACTTCGTCTACGACGGAATTGAACAGGAATGGCGAAAAAGGGCACCCTTGACGGACACCGCTCCTGGTTTCGAACGATTTACTTAGCCCACCGTAGACCCTTACGCTACCAAAGTATACAGATACAACGACCGCAATAGGTTTACATACTTCCGCGGCATTCCTGTACGGAGCAGCAAACCCAGAAGAGCTCCACGGTCAACTGAATCGAAGGCTGCTTTTAGGTCAAGGAACACTGCGATTGTTGGCCAATGATGTGTGTGACACAGTTCGAGGACTTGACGCAAAGTGAAGATTTGGTCGATGCACTCGCGACTTGGTCGGAATCCGGCTTTTTGTTCGCGGATGTTCCTCTCCCTTAAGGGTGTCAGGCGGCGAAGTATCACAGAAGTCAACACTTTTGTGATTATCGGATTATCACACAGAATAACGTGACCTGATCGTAAAATTTAGCCATAGCTAATCGACCTAGTCAATTGTCCCATGGCTGCGTTCTGTCCACACCGCCTGGAGCCGATCCTCAGCGATATGGACGACGAACGCGCTCCTCTGTGCGAGCCGGCTAAGGCCAGACTACTCATTCATGTTCCCGACCGGCATCGATGCTCTTGTTCCACGCGCAACAAATTCCTTTTGAAAGATTATTTTCAAGAGAGATGGAAAATCGACAGATATTATTTCTTTTCCCATTTGACTTCAATGAACCACTGACGTTTATTTCTAACTTATACAAAAACACGCACAACTGCAAGTGCCTGAAGACGAAGTTACGAAAACAAGTCTGTTCGCTAAACTGCTTGTTCTTTGGCATTCTCATGGAAATCTTCCATTCCTGACGAGCTGTTGACCGCGTGCACAGACAGTCGAGCAGAGTGCATCCAAGTTGTACTTTTGTGTTGATTTGAACTAAGAAATTGAAGATCTGGACAGTGTTCCGGTGAATACACTTTCCCCGCAACTTCTGCTCTGTTTCCGTAGATGATTTTAGCCTCGTTGCCTCTGACAGTACCAAATTGCTTTTGGGTTTATCAATTTGGATAGGATCGTCTACTGTTTCTCGTATGAAATGATTGGTTTCCGCAGTTCGCTTGCTCATTCTTTCACATCTCGTTTCTTAGGCCATGTCTCTCGAGTCCGAACGGATCCGGGTATTTAAGGACTACATCATCTCACTGGATTCTGTCGCCCAAGCGGATGCTGAAAAGTCCCGTCGAAGTCGAAAGGATAAGCGCCGTCGCGAAGAGTGAGTCGTGTTGATATCATTCTCGTGTTTTTCTTCTGCATTCTCTCGGACGATTAAATGCTTTCATCTGATTGCAGGCCACTACATCCAATTTGATCATGTTGTAGTTTTGAACCAGTATAAAAAACGAAGCTCTTAATTAAAAATTCAAGAAGTGAGCCCTTAGTCAGCCATACTGTGTTAAGATGATTGAAGTAGTGTTGTGATCGGATTAGATTATGAGATCTCAACAGTTCGGAAAACGTTTTTCTGCGCTGCTCACACTCAACTTAAACCTGCTACAGAAAGAAAAACAAGTAGATCGGAAATTCCGTTTCTCACCGTGTTGAAAAACAGTACGGTTGTTACCGATTTGTTTATCAAATCCAGTCTGGTCGAACCATCCGTTTCGCATATCTCGCTCGTAGGATGTAGCGTTCCTCTAGTCTTTACATAATATTTACATGATTCAAACCACCATTCATCTGTAGTACACTTATAGTCACCGCCACTAATTACCCTGGGAATGTATGCAATGTTAATCAGCCTATGGTCTCGCTTTGGGATGGTGGTAGTGGTGACGCAGTGGTTTAGTCGCCGTCATTAGCATGCTTTGGACCCTGTGGTCCAAGGTTCGATCCCCGCCACCACCACCCAACTTTAGTGGTAGGCCGCTTTGCTGTCATCCGGTTCAACACCGCCCTTGACCTAGCGGGGGCCTTATGTGGTTCATCAATCCAAGTCCCGGAACTTAGGTTGCCGGTTACGATCACTGAACGGCAGGTCTTCNGCTTTCCCCGTCTGCTGTTCATCACACACTGACGCGTAATTTGAAAAATCTCGTCTCGTAGTGTGCGAAACGCTTGTGTGCGGTTTTTCCTGGGTTTGCCTTTTGTCGACACAATTGTGTGTGCTAAACTGAGTAGGAGCTAGGTTTTAGTAATTTACTCGTACCCCTTTTTAAATCCAACATCTCTCGTCACTTTCANCACTTTCAGCTCCACCTCTACGGAAGTGACTGAACACAGCCGAGAGAAGCAGAAGAAACGTGTGGCATCCGCATCTCCCACTCCTTCCGATGTCAGCGCGGATCGTCAATCGGATGCGGATGGTGGGAGCTCCAGTAAACGAAAGCATCGAAAGTCGAAGAAGTCCAAGCACAAGAAATCCAAACATCACAAACGCCGAAAATCTTCTGACCGCGGCCGCGGGGATGATGACGAGCTGGAGGAAGGTGAGGCTGCAGATGACGATGATGACGATGACGATGAGGATGATGGTGGTGCCTCGAAAAGTCGCCGAGACCGTCATCGTCGCCATCGTCGGCGGAACAAGTCATCGGATCCGGAAGATGGTGAAGAGCTAGACAGTGGAAGTGAAGGCGAAGTGTATGATCGAGAATCGAAGCGCAAACGTCGCTAAGCCTTGTTTGTGTGTGTGTGTGTGTGTACGCGCATGTGTGTGTGTATGTTTGTGTGAATAGGATGGTACGAATTGAGTGAACCATTGTCGCGTTTTTATCTGCATCCGTGGATAAACATACAATATATTTACCACACTTTTCTATCTTAACGATACTGCAGGGTGTTTGGGACCCCACAGCAGTTCAAACGTGGTTGCACTTTTGATTCCAATGCTAAGTAGCGACTATCCTTGCAATCGAGATTGTAATTTTCCCGTGTTTAGGATAGTGAATATACCAGCTGTATACAATTCCGTAGTGTTTCGGTCGTCGCGCAGGGCCGCGTTACGCATCTAGCGAGGCGGGATAGTTAGTGACATCTGAGCTGGCTATTGCTCACTTTCGTTCATTTTTTGTCTTCTTTTCCCTACTGTCCATCTTTTCCCCTGCTTCCTACCCGTAGTATTCGTTCAGGCAACTTGTTTGTCACTTGTCAAAGCTCATTTCCAAATAGCGTTGTAAATAGTGAATCACCGAGTGAATTGCGGGTTGTGAAGCCTCAGTTTCAGGTTTTACGACCATTAGCCTTGCAATTTCGTGCGCCGGTTTTGGTGACTGTTTGTTAGCTGCCCATTTGAAGGAACAGTAGGAGAAAGACAGGTGAGTTGAAAGTAGAGTCGGATAGAAAATGGAGAATTTCGGTGAACTAAGATTGCAAATAAATTGACAAGATGCACGAACTTCATTATTTACGGCCCCCAGCCTTATTACTCAGTGTCTCCAACCATTGATTACGCTGATCCCGAAGTCCCTGTCCATAGAGCCTAAGAGGACCTATGTGACCCAGATTCCTGATTGGGGTTTTCACAGCCTCATGCCAGGTCTTAGCTTAATCACCCTTGGCTTAGTTCCACCGCTACCTGCCTCGGCGAACATCGCTAGCCGTGGCAACCCAATTTGGTGCCATGTGTAACACGTGCCCCAACCAACGTAATCTATGGAGGCCTCACAAACCGCTGAATCGGAAGTCCTTCAATGTGATTATCTTCATGGAGGTGGGTCAACATGCTTGTCTAGCACGTACGATGAACGCTTTAACAATTGATGTCTGCCACGTATCGGTGACTCGAATTTCAGATTGGAGTCGTATGAGCTACTTAACTGCCCTGAGTTTCTCTCCGCATATCAGAAAACAACAAGGCTGATTTAACAAGTTTGCGCGGCGTAGTTATTATATACTGAGTGACAAAACTGAAGTCTCATTGATATGCTGGATTTCGGTTAGCTGCCATTTTGTGCGTTGTCATTATTCCAGGGTTTAGAAAGTAGTTGAATCAAAGTATTTTATGTCACCCCATTGAACAACGGATCTAAAAATTGCGGAAACATCCTTTCCCTTCGATCCATTTGAATAAAACAAGTAACGCAATATGAGCAGAATTGATATTGGCCATCAATTTCGCGTGCTCTCAATCAGCTGTCTACGCATATGAAATAGGACAGATTTTTATCATAAGAATACCATGTATGGACATTTACAATTACATGGGGTCAAGCAGAAAGCACTGAGTAGTTGAGTCATTACCAAAGTCATTTGAGTATGGGTAGAAGAGGAGGAGGGGTGGGGAATGTTAGCATAGAAAACAGTTACGTAATGGAAACCGATTAGCAATGGTGGAAAGAGAGTTACACATGGTTACGTAATACGAAAACGATGCAACCAGAAATGAATTCGAATAGACGCAGAAAGTTCACCGAGTTCAACCAAGTAGGTCAAAGAGATTTACGTAATAAGAAAATGAGAAGAGAGAAGTGTCATCGCTGATGTAAGAGATGATGAGAAGGAAAGGGGAGGGGAATTACCATGGTAATAACAACTGCATCACAAAGGCCTTTTGCACGCATAGGTCAGGCTTTAAACGGTTAATGAATGGCTGGATCTAATAATTGTATTTGACCAGATTGACCAGAAAGCTCTGTTCTATTCGCTTCATCGGACAGGAGCGCCCAGTAGTATTCAAATCTACTGATACCACTGCGCTCGTGCATCTCTTGTCGAGTAAGGATCTACAACGCGCTAAACTGATCGTCCGAAACTATTAGTGACGTTCTTCACGGTGCTCTGTCTTGCCATTCCGGTTGATTCTATAGGAAATATTGAAAAACAACCTAAGTAGTGTTTAATATGTTGGTATCAAATGGGCAGCTAGAGCAAAGATGTACTACCTGGAGCATCGTTTACCGGTTCAAGTGTATGGTGGAGGTCTAATGCACACTGCAAGGACAGACAGGATCTGTTGCCCCATTTCGATAGGTGTTTTCTACCTTCATAGTGCCGTGATGTGCACAACGGGGCTTTGTCTACCTCTGCTATGAAGCCTAACGGCCAGTATTTTACTGTAGCGAATCGTTCCCACTGTTTAGGTAATAGCGTCAGTAGTGAAGATAACACGAAAAAGGAGGTAACTACAAGCATTTTCTGACCTGGAAGACCGAAACACCGAGCTGTTTAGTTGCTCTGAAATTGGCTGTCGTGTACTCAGGAGTCCCTCTGCGAAAGGTTTATGATCGCACCGAATTCAGCTGGGTAAGTTTGATGTTTTGTTTTTCGAAGCACTTATTACGCGTGCTCAACAGTTGTCTACTGCATCACGGCTTCTTTGCACAATTCTGCTTCCTGGTGATGATGATGTGCATTTCGTTCCATTGATTAATTTTTTTATTAAACATGTGATGAACAGCAGACAGGGTGAACCCCATAGTCAGGACAACCTACTGTTCAGTGATAGAAACCGGTAACCCAGGACTTGGAGTGGTGAACCACATAAGGCCCCACTAGGTTAGACGTGGTATCGAACCGGACTACAGCAAAGCTGCCTACCACCAAGTTGGGTGGTGGTGGTGGTGGGGATCGAACCTAGGACCATAAGGCCCAAAGCACGCTAGTGATAGCGACTAAACCGCTGCGCCACCACCACCATCTCTTTTGAGTGTGATTGAACCGGTTGTTGATCGACCGTTCCTATTTCGCAATCTCACCGCAAACCGTGACTGTGGAAATCAGTCAGACGCCATTTTTGGTCTCGGTTTGGTTATTTTGATTTGTTCCCATCACGTGAACAGAATTTGTGAAACAGAAACAGATGTCGGAGTTCCACAAATTCCTCTTGTGATGCACCGCGCGGTTTTCAGTCACCTCGTCATCCGACTATGTATGGCCCGTTGGTAGCATCGTTCCACTCCGAGGGGTTGTTAATTTAATTAAGTACTAGATATTTCTGATATTCGGAATCATGTGTCACATGTTATGCTTCTCTAACTGGAAACATGAAGTCGCATTTTTGTTGTTATCTTGGGCGGCTATTTGGATGTGGGTCAGAAGACCGCAAACAGTCGAAGCGTTTGCCGTCGGTTTTGCCAAAACCTGCACCAGAATGCGTAAATAAGTTCCATTTCGGATTTCTTTGGGACTAACTTCAATCTGACCTCCATTGCATGGCTGAAACTCTGCAAAACTGGTGAGATTTTGCTTGATTTCGGAGATAGTAAACAGTCTTTCGAATTTGGTGTGATATAGCTCGTGACCTTGATGAACTGGGTGTGATGTCCAGTTCTATTGAAACAAAGCAGCCTGCTGTGTACATTGGGTTTAAGTATAAGGCTGCTAATATCGATGAATGTCTGTGTTGATCCAACTGTCAGACTCTTCCTTCGCTGAATAGAAACATCCAATTCATTGTGACGAGTCTGCACCTTGACGTGGTATGATACCTTGCGTGCCTCCATGACCCTGCGAGCTATACAGGATGGCTTCTCACAGCCGTAGATCCAATGGTGCCTGAAAGGGAAATGAGCCCAGGCCAGACAAAACTCAGTCTCACTAAGCCAGCTGCTTGAGCAACTCCTGGCCTTTTTTCTATCCACACCCGCCCCTGGAGAGGTCACTTCAGCAAACAAACACGGTGAGGGGCAGTTTGCCGGTCAGAAAACCCCCGTTAGATGGACGTAGGAGCGGGTTAACTAGGGGTTCCTCTGGACGGTGGTAGAAGTCTTCGCACTTCCCTGGACAGCTACCGCTCGCCCAAGCTGGGCAACCCCCAGCCCATAAAATGCTGTCCCGTCCACGTTCCGCCTGTTTCATTGGGTGCATGAGACTGAGGGTCAATCCTGAAAAGTGGACCTAAAATCAACGCACCAGTGAACAATACAATCAATGAAGTATATGCTGCAACAATTCGGCCAGTTCTGCTATATGGAGCAGAAACTTGGCCCTTAAGACAGGATAAAGATAGACTGTCGGTGTTCGAACAACGCTGTCTTGCGTCTTATGTCTGGATGGTTCAGTACGGATCAGCATGTCAGTATGCTTGAAGATTCGAGTTGTCCACCTCAAATTAACTCACTCATCATTTGTCGAGTCGTTGATAATGGCATGGTTTGCAAACTGAAGAGGATGTCCCAAGGTGATTTATAGTGACCAAGGAACAAATTTTACCGGTGCAGAGCTCCCACTATATAAACTCATTGAGGTAATCCATTGTGATCGTTTGGAAAATGAGTTGAAATCACGTGGGGTGGAATGGACGTTTAATCCACCGTACTCAAGTCATCGGGGAGGAGTGTGGGAGCGTATGATTCGTTCCGTTCGACGCGTCATATATATAGCTATATCGCGTGAACAGGTTTTTACCGAAGAGTCTTTAACCACCTACCTAACAGATGTTGAGCAGATTTTGAATAACAGACCAATGACACCTGTCGTTGATGACCCTGACAATATAGACGTTCTAACGCCAAATCATATCCGGTTGTCTCAAGCACTAATAAAACCTTCTGGCGAAACACTGGACCCCCGTGAACGTTATACTCGACATTAGAGACAAGCTCAACTACTAGTCGACTCATTTTAGAGACGATAGATTCGGGAGTGTATACCACTTTTTCAGCCCCGTGGAAAATGGATCAAACCTCGTCGCAACGTAAAGATCGGAGACCTTGTGTTCATACTTGACCAACAAAC